GTTCAAGGGCAAAGTCTCCTCAATGGGAATAAAATCCCTTTGCCCTCTTTAGCTTGGTTCTTCACACTCAGGGTTACAGAGCAAAATGCCATGGTTTCTGAAAGGGGAGAAAATATTCTGTAGGATTACTACAATTTCCTAAATTTTTGCAACATGTTGCAAAATGGGGCACAATTTCAAATTGCATTTATCTGAGCTTTGCTTAAAAACTTACTGTGTTAAAGCCACTATTAAACCCAGCTACTCAGGGTACTGAGATGGGAGGGTTGCTTGAGCCCGGAAGTCGAGGCTGCAATAAGCTATGATTACGTCACTGCACTCCAGCCAGCGTGATGGAGTAAGACCCCATCTCAAAGCAAAACCAAACAAAATGCAAAAAAACTGCTGTGTACTTACAAGGTTCATCAACTAGTCAGGACTTCTAGCAAGGTAATGCAATGGACTCTGGGTACATGGAGAGTTACGTGATCACTGATATCGTGATCACTCTGATCATTCCTGGGAAAGAGGTGTATTTTCTATCTCTCTCTGCCACCTGGCCTGTTGGCAGTGAGGACAGCCCTGCTGTAGTGCTCAGCAGAAACCTGGATGATGAGCTGTCAGTTTTGGAAGGGTAGCAAGCAAATGGAGAGGATGGGACTAAGGAATAATTGGTGGGGGGGTGCAATTGGTTTGAGGAAAACCTTTTTTTTTTTTTTTTTGAGACAGAGTCTTGCTCTGTCACCCAGGCTAGAGTGCAGTAGTACCATCTAGGCTCACTACAACCTCCACCTCCTGGGTTCAAGCGATTCTCATACCTCAACCTCCTGAGTAGCTGGGATTCCAGATGTGCACCACCACACCTGGCTAATTTTTGTGTTTTTAGTAGGGATGGGGTTTTACAATGCTGGCTAGGTTGGTCTTGAACTCCTGACTTCAGGTGATCCACCCACCTTGGTCTCCCAAAGTGCTGGGATGACAGACATGAGCCACTGTGCCCGGCTGAGGAAAAATATTTCCAGTTTAATATCTCATTTTTTTTCATCTGTTACCAACATTATACTGAAAGACTTACATTTAGAGTTTACATTTCATGAAAGCAGTTCTTTCAGATGGTTCAGGTTTGTTTTTATGTGATCAAATCTTGGCCTCTCTGTTTTACCTTACCTAGAGTATAATTTTGGTAACAATGATTCGGTAATAACTGAAGTCCTCAGAAACTCTTTTAGGTTTGAGTTTACATAGACAATAAAAATATTTTAAAAACATCTTACTATTATTACTATCTTATTCCATGTTACTGCTCTAACAGAATAGCACACACTGGGTAATTTATAAAGAAAAGAAATTTACTTCTCACAGTTCTGGAGGTTGGGAGGTTCAATATCAAGGTGCTGGCATCTGGTGAGGACCTTTGTGTCATCCCAAAGGGTAAGAAAGGGAGGGAGCAAGAGAGGGCCAAGCTCAAGTTTACAACAACCCACTCCTATGATAACAACTGTAACCCATTCACGAGGGCAGAACTCTCTGGCCTAATCATTTCTTATTGTCCTACCTTTCAATGCCATTATAATGGCAGTTACATTTTCACGTGAGTTTTGGAGAGACAAACATTCAGACCATAGCAATGACCAATACGCTGTTAGTCCTCTTATTTTCCTTTTCATAGAAAAATATAATAACTGAAACATACTAGAAGGATCTATGGGAACAACATACAGGGAAAATGTCATTTCTCTTCAACCAATCCAGGGAAACCATACAGAGAAACTCTAATTTTTGTGAGTTTTTGTTAATGCTATGGCAGTATTTCAGCTGTGGGTCACCTGGAAATTTTATCACTGCAGAGGGCGATAAACGTTTTATTATCCAATGCTCCATTCTTTTATACTTTCCTAGTGGCAATAACTACATATACTGACAATGAAGATCTCTTAAAGTAGATGCATGGGGTTTTGAAGTACTTGAGGCTTTATTGATTGATTGACTGATTTTTTTTTTTTACTTTGTGTCAACCATCTCTTAGGATCTGGATTTGGGGGACTGACTAAGAATGGCTAGGAAGAGTCAGTAGGAAACCTCAGGATTTTTCCAGAAACTAGAAAGTCGTTATTTTTAAACCAGTTGACTAGTACAGGTGTACCCAAGAGTTTCTCAGAATAAGAGTCAGAAACACCCAAAAGTTGTCCCCATCAGGCAGGACCACATTTCCCTGCTCAGCTCCTCATGCTGCTGTTCCTCTCGTCCCGAGCAGTTCTCTGACTCTGAGAGCCTCTGCCGGCCCACTGGCCTAGTGTAGACCTCTCCTTTGAGATCTGCTTTTTGGGAGGTTGTTTTAGTAGATGGTGATATGGTTCAGGGCAGCTAGTTTGCAGTTTAGAATCTCTGCCGTGTACTGAAGCCCAAAACAATTAAACCCAGTGCACAAGAATGTTTTGGTGCTGCCCTGGTTTCTGGGCTCTGTCTTCTTATCAGATATTAGATGTCAATGATTTCAAGAGCAAACAGCTGACGAAGCCTGAAGACCAACAAGAAACTTAGAGCAGACTGGGCTTGCAACTATTTATAAATTAATTTTGTCACTCCCTCTTCCCTATATATAGTTCCTTGAATTCTCCTTTGAACTGGTTATAACATCTTACTGGTTCCCTCATGAATGAGTTACCTAAAAATTTTGATATGTTTTCTTTTTATATTTTATGAAAGGCATGATTTTTACCTCTGAAAGTATCTTTTAACATTAGGTATGTTATATACTAAGTACTTGTAGATACTTTATGTGCTTATTTTGCAAACTCACACAACACTCTTTTATATACCAGGTGGTGTTTTAAGTGCTCTGTAAGTATTAACTGATTCAATCCTTAGAATAGGACTATATCGTTTACACTTCTCTTCAGCTCTTGACCCCATCTCATCAAACAGAGGCTCAGAGAGGCCCGAGGTTGTGTCATTAAACTGTAGGGTTTGTGTGAGGCTGAAGCAATTGCCCTACCCAACAGACACTGGGAGCTCCCCACTAGGGACTAAATGTTTGTGTTCCCTCTGCAATTCATATGTTGAGATCCTAGCCCCCAGTGTGATGGTATCAGGCATTTGGCAGATACTTAGCTATAGATGAGGTTATGAGCATAGGTCCCCATAATGGGATGTGCGCTCTTATAAGAAGTGACCAGGAAGCTTGGTCTTCCTCTCTCTCCAGAAAGAAGGTATTCTTCTGCAAGGGCCCCAGGAAGAGGGCCCTCACCAGGAACTTGATCAGCCAGCACTGTCATCTTGGACTTCCCAGCCTTCAGGACTGTGAGGAATAAATTGCTATTGTAAGCCACCCAATCTATGGTGTCTTTGTTACAGCAGCTTGAGTCAAGATATACCCTCTAATCGTGCTGTAGGATGAGGTGAGGAAAGGCCCCCAGCTTTGTAAAGATGCATAAAGCTGTATCTTTGTTATTATTGTTACTATTATTCTTAGATGGAGTTTCACTCTCGTTGCCCAGGCTAGAATGCAATGGCAGGATCTTGGCTCACTGAAACTTTCTCCTCCCAGGTTCAAGCAATTCTCCTGCCTCAGGCTCCCAGGTAGCTGGGATTACAGGCATACACCACCACACCTGGCTAATTTTGTATTTTTAGTAGAAATGGGGTTTCTCCTTGTTGGTCAGGCTGGTCTCGAACTCCTGACCTCAGGTGATCCACCTACGTCTGTCTCTCAAAGTGCTGGGATTATAGGCGTGAACCACCACACCCAGCCAATTTTTATTATTTTTTGTTATTTATTTTCTTACTTTGTCACCCAGGCTGCAGTGCAGTAGAATGATCTTGGCTCACTGCAGTCTCAGTCTCCTGGGTTCAAGCAATCCCCTTGCGTCAGCCCAAGTAGCTGGGACTACAGGCACATGCCACCATGCCCGGCTAATTTTTGTATTTTTTTTAGAGATGGGGATTTGCCATGTTACCCGGACTGGTCACAAACTCCTGAGCTCAAGCCATTTGCCCATCTTGGCCTCCCAAAGTGTTGGGATTACAGATATAAACTGCATCTTTAAAGAGCAAAACAATTGTGTTGACAGAGGGGAGGAGGCTGTGATAAATGGATTCTACAGAAGAAGCCCCCAGCTGTGGAGGCCTGTGCTCTATCTGGGTGGCCTGTGGCTTTGTCTGACAGTGGCAAGGCCCTGAGGAGGTGTGGTGGCCATATGTGCCATTTCCTGCTAGAGGTTCCACTTAAATATTGGTCCATTTCTTTCCTCAAGAACATGTATCCTGGTTAATTATTAAAAAAATGGCTGGGCACTGGGTATGGTGGCTCCTGCCTGTAATCCCAGCACTTTGGGAGGCTAAAGCGGGTGTATCACAAGGTCAGGAGTTCGAGACCAGCCTGGCCAATATGGTGAAACCCCGTTTCTATTTTGTAAAAATACAAAATTAGCAGGGAGTGGTGGCTGGCACCTGTAGTCCCAGCTACTCAGGAGGCTGAGGCAGAGGTTGCAGTGAGTCGAGTTGTGCCACTGCACTCCAGCCTGATGGCAGAGCAAGACTTCGTCTCAAAAAAAAAAAGGGGGGTTGGGCACAGTGACTTGTGGTTGTAGTCCTAACCACTTGGGAGGCTGAGGCAGGAGGATCACTGAGGCCAAGAGTTGGAGGCTGCCGTGAGCTATGATTGTGCCACTACCCTCCAGCCTGGGTGACAGAGACCCTGCCTAAAATAATAATAATACATAAAAAGTAAGATTATCATCAGAGAGTCTTAGGGTGACAGTGAGAGGCAGCCTGGTGCAGGGGATAAGGCACAATTGGAATCTGCTAGACTGGGTTCAAATCCTAAGTCGGCCATTCATAGCATGAATAAATTAGAATTGGCTTAAATTAACATTCAAAATTTCAACGGGGTTAGGTAAATGCTTCCTTCTCACTTTTTCCACAGGAAGTGAGAAAGGTCTTGGCAAGGCCCGGGGAGGGAAGGGCGTGGGAATGAACGAGATCTAGAGAGTCTGTGCATTGGCAGAGAAGATAGTGTAACTAGCTGTGGCGCTGTGGCTGAAGGGTTGGTCCCCGGTGAGCTGCAGCCCTGCCCGCTGGCCGTGGGAGAGGGTTCAAACAAACGCAGGAAGCAACTCCCAGCCCCATAAAGATCTGTGACCCGCAGCCCCAGAACTGCCTGCCTTCCTGACTTCCGCTCCAGAGCAAAGGTCATTCAGCCGCTTGAATCAGCCTCCCGCCCCCCTTCCCCAACTTTGTTAACCTGATAAGGAAGGTCAGCACTCAAAGTCAAGAAGAGCCTCTTATCTTCCCCTGCGCTCTACAAATAGTTCCGTGAGAAAGATGGCCGGGAACTCGATCCTGCTGGCTGCTGTGTCTGTTCTCTCGGCCTGTCAGCAAAGTAAGAGGCATGGGAAGTTTGTGTGTGTGCGTGCGTGTGAGACGGGGATTGCGGGAGGGAGATTGCGAGGGAGGGAGGGAGATGGGTCCGGTGTTTTGCTTCCTACTCGCTCTTGCAGGTGGCTCTGGGTCCTCAGAGCAGTCTCCTCAGGGTCACCCGTGCTGCCTGCTCCCCTCCTTCCCAGGGACAAGCAGAGACTGAGAACATTCCAGAGGTTAGTTCTCCCAAGTGGAACGCTGTGGGGCCTCAGAGCTCACGACTCTGCATCATCCGTGGTTACTACCCACAACCCGTTCAAATGAGCATTATTAGTAGCCTGCTAACCTGCAGGAAGGGGTGTGAATATTACCAGAGTTCCAAAGGTAACGTTCCTGCGTCTAAACCTGGTTGTGATTTCTTGAACGCTGATGTTTTAGTTAATATGTTTTCTTAAACTGCCTATGGTGGTATGATTATCAGATTGAAAAAAGCCTCCTTCAAAAATATGAGCTTTAGATTAAGTAATTAGCTCTAAGTTTTAAAACAACTTCCCACTAGGATTATTCAATATATCCTGACTGCCTGGTTAAATAGAGGGCTTTTACTCCATGGGACTCACATTTGCTCAATTCATATTATCTTACCTACAGTGTCAGCTGGGGAAAGGGGTTGGAGCACAAGAGAGCAAGACTTCTTACCAAGCGTGCGTATTTCTTTATATTTTCAAGTGTACCTGTACCAGGAAATAGGGCTGTGCTGTAGACTGTTCAGGTCACACAAACAGCCAGAAGCAGGAAGGCCTCACAGCTAAGGATCCAGTCCAGGCCTCCCTGCATGCTAACATCTAGCCTAGCCAGCCTGTTTTGTGATTGTGTGGAGATCTTAAACCTTCAGACACACGTTTTGTGGTTTGATTCACAATCTGTCGTGGAAGAGAGCAGGATATTTGTTTCTAATTAAAGAAGCACTTAGATCTGTTAAAAGAAAAACCCTAGACAAATTACATTTAACTGAGTTTAATTGAGCAAAGAACAATTCACAGTTGGGCATGAGGAACCAGAATAGGTTTGGAGAGACTCTGGGGCTGCCACGTGGTAGATTTATGGATGGAAAAAGGAAAGTGACTTCCAGAAAATGGAAGCGTATAGTACACGATGTATGGAGGAACCTTTAGGCTGAACTTAAAATATGTCAGAAGGCAGCTTTAGGCTAAACCTAATTTAACAGGTCTAAGGCGACCCATCCTGACTCACAGGTGCTACCAAACCTGCATGTGCCTTTATCCTAGGCCTGCAGAGGGTACAGGAGCAGGTCCACAGATGCCCCAAGGCTTGCAGAGGCACTCATCCTCCCTATTTGCTGCTTGTGCAGGGAATTGTGTGAATGGGGGCCAGAATGTCAGGGGGCTGGATGGAGAGGGGTGGGTAGGGAGAGAGAGAAGAGACTGGGTGAATGATGATTCATGGTGAACAGGGAATGTTTAATGATAAGGTGTTAGGGCCAGGTGCGGTGGCTCACACTTGTAATCCCAGCACTTTGGGAGGACAAGGCAGGCAGATCACAAGGTCAGGAGTTCAAGACCAGCCTGGCCAACATGGTTTCATTGATATTTTGTATGGCCGGTGACACAGCCCCAGGAGATCCTAAGAACATGTGCCCAAAGAGGTCGGGCTACAGATTAGTTTTATGCATTTTAGGGAGACATAAGACATCAGTCAATTCATATAAGATGTACATTGGTTTGGTCCCAAAAGGTGGGACAACTGGAAGTGGGGCATGGGCTTCCAGGTCATAGCAGACTTAAAGATTTTCTGATTGACAATTGATTAAGAGTTTACTTACAGACCTCAAATCCACAGAAGGGAGTGTCTAAGTTAAGGGGTTGTGGAGGCCAAGGTTCTTACTATGCACATGAAGCTTTCAGGTACCAGGGTTTGGAGAGAATAGATTGTAAATGTTTCTTATGAGACTTAAAAAGGTGCCAGACTCTGTTAATTCTCTCCTGGATCAGAGAAAAGACCTGGAAAGGGAAAGAGATTTTCTGCTGAATGTAGACTTTTCTTGCAAGAGACAATTTTGCAGGACCATTTCAGAATATGACAAATATATTTTAGGGTAAAATACTTCAATTTCTTTCAAGGCTTACTATCTGCCATGTGATGCTATACTAGATTCAGGCTGGAATTTGGTGTCTTATTTCTACAAAAAGTCTTATGTGTTAGGTTTTTTGTTTTGTTTTGTTTTTTAAGACTGAGTTTCACTCTTGTTACCCAGGCTGGAGTGCAATGGCGTGATCTTGGCTCACCGCACCCTCCGTCTTCTGGGTTCAGGCAATTCTCCTGCCTCAGCCTCCTGAGTAGCTGGGATTACAGGCACGTGCCATCATGCCCAGCTAATTTTTTCTATTTTTAGTAGAGACAGGGTTTCACCATGTTGACCAGGATGGTCTCGTCTCTTGACCTCGTGATCCACCTGCCTTGGCCTCCCAAAGTGCTGGGATTACAGGCGTGAGCTACCGCGCCCAGCCCAAGTGTTAGGTTTTTTAAAGGGAAGGTGAGGGTTAAAGAAAGAGAGAGAGGGCGGCTTTCCAACAACACAGGTGTATTGCAAAAACCTGTGGAGGTGGGGGACCAGCTTAACGCCAGAGCCCCCCACTGCTTACAGGCTGGGATATGTATAGATGTGGGCAGGAGGGGTTTGGGCAGTGTGGCTTGCTGCCCTGGAGGATATTGATAAGATGTTCCTATGGTCAGGTAGTTTGGCCAGGGATGTTCCTTGGGCCCTTTGTCCAGCAGGATATGATAGGGATGTTCCTTCAGTTGGGCTTTTGCTTGGCAGGGTATGATAAGGATGCCCCCGGGCCTTGTGGTCAGGTGGCTGGGCAGGATGTTTCCCAGGGCCTGAACCCCAACGGAATCTTTCATTCTGACCAAGATCTGTGAAATGGCAGGGGGCTTACAAAATGGCGCAGTTTGGACTAACATTAAGGTCTGTTTTAATGTTAATGCTGGTCAGTTGTGTCTGAATTACTAAGGGAGGAGGATATAATGAGGCACATCTGACACCTCCTTCCCATTATGGTCTGAACTAATTTTTTAGTTTAACTTCAGAATGCTCTTGGCCTAGAGACAGACTCCATTGAGATGGTTGGGGGGCTTAGAATTTTAGTTTTGGTTTACAAAGGAGAGAGAGAGAATGCACGAGGGAGATAGAAAGAGGAAGACACAACTGTTTTGCTGGCATTAGGAACCAGAATTTGCTGCCTTTGCAAGTCTAGTGTTCATGGAGTTGGGATACCATGTGCCATGGTTTTGAAGACGGACAGAGCTGTATCTGTCTGGTCTAGCCACTTCCCAGCTGGGTGTCCCTGTTCAGGATACACTGCCCTTCAATGTCACCATCAAAGAGGGTTTAATGGGACCCCTTGGAGGAAATCCTGCCATAGTGCCTGGCTCCATGTACGTGCTCAGCACTGTTGGTTCACATCCTAAGATCCTTCTTCGAAGAGAGAGGCTTCTGCTGCATGGAGAGGTAGCCACAGGGTGAAGGAGCCCAGCTGGGGCTGGGTGGGGATCATAGGGGGTAAGGGGAAAAGAGAAAGCTTTTCCCTTCACCCTCTGAAGGTTCACCAAAAATCAACTGACAAAAGGCAGGTTAATAGGAGAAAGGGTATGGCAATTTATTTTAATATGCACAGTATGAGAGAATGATTGCCCAGTAATCCAAAGGGGTACAGTAGCTTATATACTATTCTTCACAGGGGAGGGAGGGGATGAGGAATGCAAACAATGCTTTTGAGTGGTAGCAAAAGATTATTAGGGAAGATGAATGGACTGGGAGACAAAGTAAACTTGTCAATGACTCTCTTCGGAACTTGATGGGCCAGAGGGGTAGGCTTAATCTGGTGGGAAAGTTCGTCCAGGTGTGTGCATTTGTCGGTCTTCTTTATTTATTTATTTATTTATTTTTGAGATGGAGTCTGGCTCTGTCGACCAGGCTGGAGTGCAATGGCACAATCTTGGCTCACTGCAACCTCCGCCTCTGGAGTTCAAGCGATTCTCCTGCCTCTGCCTTCTAAGTAGCTGGGATTACAGGCACGAGCCACCACGCCCAGCTAAGTTTTGTATTTTTGGTTGCGACAGGGTTTCAACATATTGGTCAGGCTGGTCTCAAACTCCTAACCTCGTGATTGCTCACCTTGGCCTCCCGAAGTGCTGGGATTACAGGCTTGAGCCACCATGCCTGGCCTCCTTGGTCTTCTTTTCCACATGAGATAATGAGCTCTGAGGGAGGAGAGGGCAGGCAATTGTGTTTGTGTTAGGGAGTCTCGTTTTTAGGTAGATAAGGGAGCTTCAGAGGACTGCCCAGCCACATCCTGTGCCTTGGTAGAGACCACGGGTTGAGACAGGAGGCAGTGGAAGGGTCATAAGGGCCTTAAGGCCACTTGTTTAGTTCAGTTATATTCTAAGGTGCAAAATATTCTGCTTTCCTTCATGGGGGTTAACAGAAATGCCAAACTCTGTGAAGTCTTCTAAAGAGGATTATTCTGAGCCAGTATGAGTGACCCTGGCTCAGAGAAAACACAAACCCAAGAAGCCTTCAGTGGGTGATCCCAGGGTAACTGGGTTACAGTTTGGTTTTATACATTTTAGGGAGGCAGAAATTACAGGTGAAGACATAAATCAATACGTGGAAGGTATATACTGGTTCAATCCAAAAATGTGGGATATTTTGAAGCAGGGAGCATACAGGTTACAAGTGGACTCAGAGATTCTCAAATCTGCAGTTGGTTAAAAGTAAAACTTTGAAGACTTGACTTCAGCACAAAGAAATACTTACATTATGAGAAGGATGTGGCCGGTGTGGTGGTTCATGCCTGTAATCAAGCACTTTGGGTGACCAAGGTGGGCAGATTGCTTGAGCCCAGGAGTTCAAGACTAGTCTGGACAACATGACGAAATGCTGTCTCCATTAAAAATACAAAAAATTAGCCAAGTGTGGTGGTGCTCACCTGTAATCCT